TAGAGTGCCTGGGAGGAGGACTGTATGTGAGCCTCCCATCCACCGGCTACTGCTACACTGTTCCTGTTGCTCCACATCCTCTCCAAATTGGAAACTGCCAGATCTTAAAATTGTTGCCAATATTATGTCAGGGAAGAGGCCGAATTTACCTTGCTCACTAAAGTATTCCCAGCACCAACCTGGGCCTGGCACATAGCGGGAACTCAGAAGGTTAAACAGTTGAACGTGAGAATGGGCAATCAAAGACAATCCCACTATTGCCCAGGTCTCCAGTTGCTTAATAATGGCCAATTGGCTGGGTGCGGTGGCTCACGCCTGTAATCCCAGCACTTTGGGAGGCCGAGGTGGGTGGATCACCTGAGGTCAGGAGTTCGAGACCAGCCTGGCCAACATGGTGAAACCCTGTCTCTACTAAAAATAAAAAATTAGCCGGGCGTGGTGGCATGCTCCTGTAATCCCAGCTACTCAGGAGGCTGAGGCAGGAGAATTGCTTGAACCCAGGAGGCGGAGGTTGCAGAGAGCCGAGATGGCGCCATTGCACTGCAGCTGGGAGAAAGAGTGAGTCTCCATCTCAAAATAATAGTAATAATAATATTAATGGCCAGTTAAAGGAACCTCAGATTAGTCCACAGATTTCCCCCGTGTTTCCCAGAACAACATGGTTATTTCTAGCTCTTTGACAGTGTTATTCTCAAAATGAAAACATATAACATGAGCTCATCCAAAATAGCTCAGCTAACCTAACAGCGCTGATTTCTTCTTGTTGAAAGAGATAACCTTTAATGCTAATGTGCTCCACAACATCAGCTATAAATAACCCCTGAAGTTTGATGAATAATTAAGAAGATGCTATAAGTGGGTTACATTTGCAAAACGCATCACAATTCTGATTTTTGTCAGCGTTGCCCCTGGTGAAGACATTTCACGTTCAATAATAACAACATGTTTTGATTGATTTCTAGTGTCAGGTATCGCTCTAAATTCTTTACAAGTATCATCTTATTTAATCCTTACCTCAACCTATAAGAGTACTATTTTTATCATCATTCATCATTTTTAGGTTGAAGAAACTAAAGCCCAGAGGTGCTTAGGAAACTTACCCTAGGTGTTCAAATGTCCCAAGGTGGGGAAGGAGTGTGGTTGGAACACAGCAAGCGAAAACAGACAGTCCCTGGGAGAGGCTGAGGAAATGGGCAGACGGCAGAGGGCAGGGCAGCAGGGCCCCGGAGGCTGTGGGAAGGTAGTGGACTTTATCCCAAGAGCAATTGGCAGCCATTGAATCTAGAGTTTTGAGCAGGAAAGTATCATGACCGGATTTAAGAAGATGAGGCTGGGTGCAGTGGCTCACACCTATAATCCCAGCTCTTTGGTAGCCTGGGTGGAAGGATCATTTGATCCCAGGAGTTTGAGACCAACCTGGGGAGCGTAGTAAGACCCTGTCTCTACAAAAAATAAGAAGTCAGCCAGGTGTGGTGGCATGTGCGGGAAGTCCCGGCTACGTGGGAGGTTGGGGTGGTAGGATGGCTTCAGCCCCGGGAGGTTGAAGCTGCCGTGAGCTGTGATTGTACCATTGCGTTCCAGCCTGGGTGACAGTGAGACTTTGTCTCTTAAAAAAAAAAAAAAAGAAATGAAGAAAGATGAATCTGGCTTCTGAGCAGACAGGCCTGGAGGAGGCTGGGAATCGAAGCAGGAGACCAGCTTCGAGGCTCTTGAGGCAGAACAGGCAGGATTTGGGTAGCCGCACAGCTGAACAGGAAAGCCAAATCCTTGCACTCTAGGTAGCAGCTCAATTATTGCCTTTCTGAGGGATGATGGGGAAACCACAAAAACCTCTCCAGATGGCCATTTCCTCTCTATTGAGGGAGAAATATCCTCTCCCTCCCAGTGATGTCGTGGGATGCCTTAAGATGCAGGCCCTGATATAGTCCGTGCCGTGGAAATACAAGTTATTATTAACCCACCCACATCCTGCCTCACTGAGAGAGAATGATTTCTGGACTCTCGGTGCAGTCCCCAGAGAGAGATGAAATCTTTCCTTTACATGGGTAGGAATTGACTGAGCCAGGTCTGCCCCTTGTCCAGGGCCTAATGACATTCTCCCTTAGGACTCAAATGGGGGTTGGTTGTCTTAACCCACACCTTCGAGTGCCTTCCAGCTTTAAAGATCTCTAGCTTCATCCCTGCATGCAGTATTGTCATGCTAATGAATTTCACACATCAAATTGAACTCGAAATTAACATCAAAATTGGACTACAGATTAAATAGCTACTGCTTGACTCAGACAAGATTTAAGTATAGGAACAGGAGACATTGCTCCCAGTTTTGGAAATCCAAGTGTAATACAATTATTGAGTCCTTCTTATTCATTTGATTGGGTATAAGAGAAACTTTCATTTACTTTCCTCCTGTATTTGCTGTCAATATTTAATAAGGAATAATACGACTGCTTTTCACGTCCTCATGTCCCCCCGCTTCCACTCCCTAGGACCCAGCATTGCTTTGCCTGTAATAAATGTTATTTGAAGGTAGCATTATGAGGCAGTGGAAACTTGGGCTTGAATTTCAATCTCGCCAGCTGTAAGCCGGATAACAAAGGGCAGATCATAACCTTGCTACGCCTCCAGTTCCTCATCTCTGTAATAGAAATAGTAATGCCTATTTCACAGGGTTCTTGTGAGAATTAGAGAAAATAATATATGTAAAGCATCCAGAATAGTGCCTGGCCTATAAAAGGCATATCTGAAATAAATACCCAGTTCTCCAAGCACCCTGGGCTGAGCTTTTCAAGAAAATGTTCTAGTCACTGGGGTCTCACAGCATCTGGAAGATTTCAGCCAGCACGGAGCCAAGGCTAGGCACAATCAGTTTTAGAAGTTAGCACCGGCCGGGCGCGGTGGCTCAAGCCTGTAATCCCAGCACTTTGGGAGGCCGAGGCGGGTGGATCACGAGGTCAAGAGATCGAGACCATCCTGGTCAACATGGTGAAA